CAGCAGGTCCATGTGTGTCATCTGGCGAGGCAGAGGCAAGGCAAGAGGTGCAGCCCAGAACAAAACGTGTCGGACTGGAGTCCTCTGTGCCAGTGTAGGCTGTATCCTCACTGAGTTCCCTGTAACAGCATTTTCTTTCTTGTGCTTGAGTAATTGTTTCTATTTGTGCAAAATGAGCAGGTGTAAGGCACTGCCTTCCTGCTCTGGGACCTGGTTATTCGCACTTGGCACTTTGCTCACTTGTGTGAGATGGCACAAAGATCCCATTTGCTTCCCTGCCTTCACTATCCCAGAATAAGGGTCTCGTGCATATACAGCTGTATCCAAAAGGGAGAAGGACAAGATTTGTCCTGCTTGTAGACCAAAAGCTTTGCAGATCTGTGTAGCGAGACAGAAATTTTTTTTTGTAAGGCTTGAACTTTGAAAGTTCATACAGGCTTAAAGGCAGAGAAGACTAAACTCTCCCCATCTCTAGACTTGTCCACACTCACCAATCTGTTTCCAAATTATCGGATGTTCAGTTGCTCTTAGAGGTGCATAGCACTTAAAAATGGAAGGAATCTATTTTTTCCAACTCTTTGACTGTGATAGTAAAAACTTGATCTGTTATAGCAATGAGTTAGTTTGCATGTACATGTATGCGTATGCTATGAGAAGGAATGCAAATATATTGAGAACATAGCCATCTCTTCCTTTCCAAGTCTGTAATCTCGAGAGTTTCTAGCGATACTGCCTGAGAAGTTGTGTTTGAATGCTTAGCTATACCAAATCTGTTGGACAGATTATCCTGATGTTTCATACCAATGCAAATGAGAGAAACTCCTCTGAAACCCATGATGTTCCACCAGAATAACGTTAGAGGAGAGAACAAGGCCACTTCCAGTAGGTGTATTTTGGATTAGATCTCTGAAATTTCTGAGCTTGCAATGGGTTTGGATTAAGGGGTTTGATTCAAAAGGAGGTATACTGACAAGTGTCACCCCTCACACTGACCAAAACATATCTCAAAATGTGGCTAGGAAAGTCTTCTGTGAATTTTGGTGCATTGTACGTGCTGTGTCAGTATTGTGTCAAGAGATGTGGAAGAGATTATGCTGTCTTCATCTTCAACCAAGGAGCAGCCCTTTGAGTAAACCATGCTGATACCCATGATTTCCCTTCCACAGAGCAGCCCTCAGGTGCATCTGCTTTTCAGCATTTGCTTTCCGTTGGAGGAAGAGCCGGTGTCCCCCAGAGCTGCAAGCACAAGCTAGAAATCACAGGGTAGACAGATGGATGCTGTGTCAGACGCTCACCAGCTCTGCTAGTAAGCCTGAGCTTCTGTGGGGCATCACCCCTCTTTTCTCCCTACTGCAGTCAGTGGCTTTACAGCCGCAGCCTGACACAGTTCTACATCAGAATGAGTGATGGTATGAGCAGGGCAGCAGGCGTACCTGCTGTGCTCCTCAAATGTCATGTCATGCTTCCACATGTGCTTTGTGCTTCTGTGTGTATGAACAAAGATTCCACATTGATTCCTAAAGCACAAAGATTCTTTAGCAGGGGTTCCCCGAGGGTGCTGTAGGCCACCAAAAAAAGTGCCCTGCTGCCCAGGAACAGGTAGTGACAGAGCTCTACAACCAGCCTTGCTCTGGGCTGAGATACAAACGAATGGCTGATGCAGCCCCGATCTCCTCCCTAACCAGAGGCACATGCTCTTCATTAATGGCCACATTGCATGACTTGGGGTTTGCAGAGGAAAATAATAACAGTGAGCTCATCAGAGAAGGAAAAACACGAGTGAGAGGAATTGTTGTAAATATTTTTATCTTCAGGGCCTTTAATGTGACTGTCGTTTTCCCTTTCTACATTTAAACAGCCAAGCTGTTGTTGTTTCGGACTGGTTTTTTTTTTTTTTTAAGGGTAGTGTTGAAGCCTACACATCTGTACCCCATGCCTAGGCAGCCTCCACACCTAATACCCAGTCCTGACAGGAGCTGAGGACGCTCAGTGCTGTCTCCACAGGCACTCAGCACCCTGACAGCATCTGAATCGCTGCCTGGTGTGTAAAGAGCGGGCTGCCTCATCCAGATGGACTTAAAACTTCTGGAGAAAATCCATGCCTGGGGCAAGTGCGTTGACATGACTGGCTGTTGACTGCAATGGCTGTGCATTGGGGTGCGTCTTGTGTAAGGGAGAGATGTCTGACGTGCCTGAATGCAATTGCTTTCTCTTTGGAAGGCGCTCTGTTGCTCTTGGAGTGGAGGGCTGTGATAATAGCCAACTGCCTGCCGAGCCCTAGATGCAAACTTTTTGCATGATATAATAGCCTCACGCCCACATAAACTTAAATTGTTTCTATGGAGAATATCCTGGACCAGTCTAAAACCTCACCCTGCTTGCTTTATTGGAAACCCTGGGGGAGCCTCAAATGTATATATATTTTTACATTTTTTTAAAGCTTATGAAAGTGAACTATATTAGCCTGATAATGCGAAAAGCATTTTTCATGAGAACGTGGGGTGGCATAGCCTTCTGGAATGAAGTAGAGCTCTGGAAGACAGAGGCTGGGGGTTTATTACTGCTTCGCAATATCTTCAGGGCATTTTACTTCAGCGTGGTTTCACTTTCCAGTCCTCCTTCAGACTGCAAGCTATTTAAGGCAGGCTCTGTACACGTGTGCGGTGGCCAGTAGGAGATGCTGATTTTAGCATCGTTGTTCAGGTGTAACAGTGAACACTACATGTTGCTTGGAGCCAGCACTGACTATGGCTTCTGCTGGGATTAGGGGGCTGGAGAGTCAAAGATACATGACTGTGAGTTTGCTGTTACTTCACACAGGGCAGGGGTCACCTAATGAGCAGTATGAGTCTGGAGCTGTAAGCAGGGAACGCCTGTATGGCAGGGCTTTGGGACGCCTCCTGTTTCCCATCTTGCTCTCAGTGACTGTGACACCAGTAGCACATATAGCCACCCTACCTATGATCACATGGTGTTGTAACTAAGGCTAGAGATATTCACAGCGGCATATCCTGTTGTTTTCTCATTTTTTTGAGTGACATTTGAATTGTGCAAAGAACAAAGTATGGATTTACTCTTCTGTTTCTCTTTGATCCTTCTAGATCATCAAAGAACCCCCGCCCCCTCCTGCAGAAGACAGCGAGGTGAGTAATACTGACAATCTGATTTCCTCAATGTTTAGAACAAGATTTTGTTCAGTCTTCTCACAAAACGTGATTCTGCTGCACGGCAGAATATGGAGTATTTAAACCTTTGTGCTCAGATTTGTAGCCTTAAAGTCAATAGTGAATTAACTAAATTAGAGGCTTTTTAGTTGATGTCTGCCATGTGTGTTTCAGTCTGCTCACTTTGCTTTCTACAGAGGTTGAGATATATATTTTTATTTATTTAAGAGCGACTGTAGATCTGTGTGTACAGTAACTCCACGGAGCAGGTAGGGAAGGAGGACAAAGGCAGACAATGCTTCCGCTTGGTCAGAACAGCGCTACAGAGTTAGGCTGTGATTCACTAAAAGGACAACTCTTGAGCATATGTTTAACTTAGAAATTAATGAAACCTAAATACATGCTTAACTGCTTTCCTGGAATGGCACGGTAATGATTTTGATGGTTTAGCATATAGAACTGCTTTTGGCAGCTGAGCAGTAACTCACAACACTGATCCCTTGGACCTACAGTTGCTGTGAGCAAAGGCAGCCCACAGTCTTTGCAACGTGTCTGAAGATAGCAGATCAGATTCTGAGCAGATGTAAAACCTGAGTAAAATGGTCTTGATATCAGAAGAGCTGCAGTAGCTAGGGAAATTTTAATAAAGAGAAATGATAAAGCAACCTTACAACCTTTGTCTTAATTCTGCTTGGTCTTTTTAAATGAATCTAGCAAGAAATGGTTTAAAGCTATGTCACTGTTACTTAGTAGACTCTGCCCAGAAACATGCCCAATTTTCCTTCTGCTTCTTTCTATGTCCTTCTGCTTTCAGCACGCGATGAGTCTCTTCTTCGCTTTCACTGTTTTGCCCATGGGATTTCACTGAAAAGGCACTGGGCTGTGTTCAGGGCGCGTTGATGTCAATGGGAGTTTTTTCCATTGACTTCACTGGGGTTTGGATCAGTTCCTCTTAACTGTGCAAGGAAGAGAAGACTTAGAGCTATGCTCAGGGTGATTTGGTTGGTTAGTTCGCCTTGCTTTTTGCCTCTGGAGACAAATTCATTGCCTGCTTCAGCTTGCAAGTGGAAAAGCTTGCTGAACTGATCCTCTCTGTGCTCTCCATAATATCTGGCCTAGTGAGCGTTCTCTGAGCCAGGGCAGACTGATAACCTTAAAGCTCAGTCCTCTGCAGCACTAGGAGGTGGAATCCAACCTAGCTGCTGCCTGCACTGAGCACAGAGAAATAGCTCAGGGCAGCTGGAGCCAAGGCCAGTACTGGAACCTCCATCTTCATGGCACTTCAAAACAAGCCTGAAACGAAACTCCCAGTCTGAAGATTCCTGGACCCAAGGGAGATTTGCATTTGGATCCCGTGCTCCCCATGCCTCTACAGGCGGCCATCTGGACTGTTTTCCTAAGTAGATATTTCTGTTTGGGCTGTATGTAAATCCACTAGCTTTGTTAGCTTCTGTCCTCTGAATGAAAAGGAAAATATTAACCTAAAATTGCATGTGCTTTGTCCTGCACCACACATGCCTCCAAGCCAAGGGATTCAATTGCTGAAATTAATTAAAATACATCATTCTGGAATGCTGGCTCACTGGCCAAGGACTGGAAGGGGAAATTGCATCTCTGCTAAGAGGGAAGGCGTGCTTCATGTATAAGGAAGGCTTTTATCAAACCAACAAACTGCAGCAAAAGCAGTTAGTTGCAGCAGACCAGTTATATTTGCCTCGGGTTAAGTTTAGTTAAGCTGGTGTAAAGATATTTGTGGACATGTTGCGTTTTTTTGTTGGCCCTGATTCTGACAGAGAGGAAGAGTGTGTGCAGCTCTTTGGATGACACAGTCCTCAATTAATCTGTCTGTTTCACAGCTTTCCTTGAACTATGTATTTGCCACTGGCTTTTTATTTTAAACTAACCTGGTCTTGTACTCTAGAGAGCGTGGGGCAAATCCTCTTTGTATTGAAGCAGAATGTTGTTCTGCTTGCTCTCGGGCTTGCTCCCCAGAAATGATGGCTTTAACGGCAGATTTGTTCCGGCTTTGGTTGTACCCAGAGTAGGGCACTGCATAGTGCCTGAAAAATTGCATTAATCTTGTACCTGTAGTTTACCTGCTTCCCTGTTACTACCAAAGCAGATCTGTACAATCTTTTGCCTATTATTCTTACTGTTTTGGGACCCTGGGGCAGGGGGCTTTGCTTACAACGTGCCAACATTGTAGGGACTACTCTGATGGTATAATTTCAGATGTATTTTCCACCAGAGCTCTTCCCCTAAGCTCAATACCAAATTATCCTGTAGCCATCTTATACAATTAGCAGCCAAAGGTGTCTTAAAAAGGAAAATATAGTTTATACTATTTTAGAAACTGTATAGCACTAGAGAAGTGCTCAAAAATTAGTAAGGCTTGAAGCCGAGACTTGTACTATGGATTGTTCCTGAGACAGAAGAGCTTCCCGCTAGTGGAAAAATAGCAGAAGCTCTGATAAGATGCGTTTCGTGGGTCCCATGTACTCTTATAGAGCCTGGTCCACAGAATGGGATTGGCAGTAGTGTGATGCTTTCACAGAAGGTTGGATACTCTAGATTTTCTACTTTGCTCAAAGAAGGTGGAGTTGCTTTTCTGCAATACAATTTTTCTTACGTGTTGCAGATAGCTTACTCTCTTGCAGAAAACCTAGCAACTGCTCATCT